CCCCGAGCCTTGTCATCCCAAGCATCCTTTGGTCGATCCTATTCCATCTGTGTCAACCAGGTCCCCTTTTTCGGCTTCCATTACTCTTAATGCGTCTTCCATCTGGCCCTTCGGCCTGTGCAATCCTTGTTTCCCGCCATTCCTTCCTTGTTCTTAAGCCAGCCAAATTTTCACGTGTTTCCTCCGGGTCATTCTGCCCGCCTTTTTTCCTAGTCCTGCCAGTTTCACATGAGTATCCCCTCTCTTACACTCAAGTCTTAATCAATTTTACACGCTTGTTGCCCAATCCATTTCCCCAAACATCTTTCTTCTGGACATGTTGCCAGACCTTTCTCAAGCCCACGCAAAGTCAATTTCACAACCATTTTTCTTCTGGACGTCTTTGCCAAACCTTTCTCAAACCTATGCAAACTCAATTACACAACCATTTCTCTTCTGGATATCTTGCCAGACCTTTTCTCAAGCCCGCGCAAAGTCATTTATACATTCATTTCTCTTTCTTCTGGACATCTTGCCAGACCTTTTCTCAAGCCTATGCAAAGTCAATTACTCATCTGTTTCTCTTCTTGACATCTTGCCAGGCCTTTTCACAAGCCCGCACAAGGTCATTTATACATACATTTCTCTTTCTTCTGGACATCTTGCCAGACCTTTTCTCAAACCCATGCAAAGTCAATTACTCATCTGTTTCTCTTCTGGACATCTTGCGAGGCCTTTTCTCAAGCCCATGCAAAGTCAATTTACACAATTTCTTAAGTTCATGGTAACCTTATCTTTTGCATGCTTTTTCATCGGTAGATGACATACATTCCCCTCACTCAAAATGCGATATCCCCATCGCATGACTAGTTCTCACTCGAAGGTACGCAGACCTTGGCCCACCGAGTAGACGGATGCCGGCCTTTCAGCCCCCAAAAAGAAGGGTGATCAGTCCTCCCCCTACTGATAACTCACCACATCGCCTACTCCGTCCGACCTTTTACCGCTTACGAGACGGGCGTCAACACGGAGGTGTCTCCTCACATATGGCAGATAGGTCCAGTCCAAAAAACCTCCCACGATCCCGTCTTGCCGTAAGGGCTTTCTCGCGAATCGTTCCTCCCGAGTGGTGTTTTTTTGGATCTGGCCTCTTTCTTTTAAGAGCGTTGGGGTTCCCAAATAGTTCGCGAGCGTAGTTACGAAGACCTCGTGGTTAGTCCCGGAACGGTTGTAATGATTCGGAAGGGGGGTGTCACTCGCCCTGTGGTGGTTGCGGCTTCCACCCGGTACCACGCCGGATTCCTCCCTCTGGACAGTGCTGCTCAACTTAATGCGAGCAGTCGTGGTCCGTTCCAAACGACCTTGCCGCCCTTCTACGACATGGCGTGTGGTTGGGGAGAAAAAAATGAGACTTAAGAAAAAGAATGGCTCTCTCGCCCGTTTGGCTCCACGCCCTTGACGTTTAGGTTCTCAATATGAGGAGCAATTTGAACTCCCCGACTAAAGCTCGTTGTCGGAGTTAGTTCCGGACGGCCCGCATCAATTAAAGAGAAAGATGCCTTGGTCCTTCAACCCTTATTCTCCCTTATGAGGAATAGGTCGCGCTGAGACTTTTCCCTTGACGGGTAGAGGTTCTGGGGTTGTGATGCATGCATCGCTATCCCCCTCATGTTGAGACCCGAGACTAGAAAAAAAGGAAAGCTCATTCAATGCTATTTTCATATCTTTTTCAATATGCCTTGGTTCCCCTTACTATGCAATGCAATATCCAATTCTCAAACACTCAATCCAATGTTATTTCCAAGGCTGATTCTCATGGCTGGTCCGACAGCCTCTCCTCAACAAGGCCACCCACATGACTGATGTGGTGGTCATTCTTTCAATAGCCATTTCTCAAGACCGACCCTTCGGCCCATCTTCAATCCTCAGCTTTCTCATTCCTCAATATTCAATCCTTGTGACCGTCCCAACGGTTCATGCTCTTCTCGACGTAAGACTCAACCTTCTTTGTCATGCCCTTCTCTTCTCAACGCATCAATCTCTTTTATCCATCCTCATGGCTATTTCAATGACCGACCCACGACCTTTTCCATCTCTCATTGCTCATTCCAGCTCATTCTCAATCAACCTTTCTCAATCAACTTTTCTCAATCAATTATGTAGGGGACCCCAGTGCCTGTTTCAAAAGAAACGACCCTTGTCAGGGGCCATTTCCAAACAACCTGGTTAGGGTCGTTCTTTTCCATTCTCAATTCGAACAGCCTGGTTATGGCCATTCCTTTCCATTCTCAAGTCGAACAGTCTGGTTACGGTCATTCCTTTCCATTCTCAAGTCGAACAGTCTGGTTAGGGTCATTCCTTTCCATTCTCAATGTTAGCGCCGGAGAGGGTGGGCCTTGAGGACACGGATCCCACTTCAGTCTCAGAGGTTAGAAGGTGGCCATCTCTTTTTCAGTTTTATGCATGCGGTTTCTTTTCATCCATTCTTCAAAGCAATGTATTATCCATACATACATCCGACTTAGCGTCTAGTACTCAAGTTGAGACTCGCGATCCCGAGCAGCAGTAGCCCACCCGGTCGTTCAACCATAGCAAAAGAACAGGACCCCCCCTCTATTTTCACTCTCTCTGGTTTCTCATCTCTTGGCTATCTTCAGACTCATTCATGACTTAGTTGGATTAGGCTCCTAGGGAATGAGTGTTTTTCACGCCCCTTAACCCATAGGTTCCCTAACCTCTTTTGTACTCGATCAACATTGAATGCCTTGCTTTGCTCGTCAATCTGTCCTCAAAGTTTCTCTTTTCAAAAGCCCAAACCTTATTCCATCCAAAATTCATAACACACCCTTCGTAACTGGTCTCATCCCATGCTCCATGTTCTCGTCTTGTGTACCCACTTCCGAAGGTAGCCCATCCAGGAAGTAACCTTAAAAGCTATCTTCTAACTGATCGTGACACAGTCTTGGCTGACTCTCTCATCCCTCATCCTTAGCAAGCTTAATCATACTACACACACCCTTGTTGTTTCAATATTTTGCAAATGAAAAAGCAAGATTCTTGTTCAACACTTAATCAACATCTAATTCCTATTGTTGCCTTGTGCCTCAACTTGCTCGATTCCTTGTCCACCCTGTTCCTCGGCCGACTTTCTAACCCCCAGGCCGAAAGTCTCGATTTCTCTCCTTTTCCTTGTAATTTCCTGTAGTTCCGCCTCACTGAAAAAATCCAACGGCGTGGCTTCCACCCCTGCCTTTGCAAGTTCCCGGGTCTTGATAATTCACTCGTGCTTGATCACATTGGTCCATTGCTGAAACCAATGACTGGGCGTTGGCCCAAACTCATCCTCCCATCTGAAGACCCTTTCGCGCGGCTGGTGCATCGGAGGCCGCCTCTCTTCCCTAGGCCTCAAGATTGAATCCCTCTCATCCTCGCTGCTGATTTCTATGATTTTTTGTACATCCTCCTCCTCGGCTTCCTCTTCTTCCATCTGTATAGGGCTATACCCGCCAGTGAGGTTCTTTGGATCGTAGGTATAGGGAATCTCGGTCCTTATCCCATACCCCTCACAACTGTCGTGGCCGCTCCGCCCTTCAAGTGGGCTTTCCCTTCTTTCCTCCCCATCCTCTTGCTCGTCGCGAATGTCCTGTCTCCCCTCGCTTTCCCCATGCCACGACCCACGTTGTTCGCCCCTCTTGGTTTCTTCCTCGCCAGAGGCCCGAGCCTTGTCTCTCATGTCTGCATTGCCCTCTTCTCCCACGCTTGCCCTTTCCTTCTCGCTCTCAGTCCCAGATGAGATATATATATCTTCTCCCTCCCGGAGGGGCGAGGGTTTTCTACATACGCGCTTCCTTCCACCCCTGCCTACCACTGGCCCGGATGTGAGCCCTATGTACAACTTTCTCTTTGTCGTCCTCCTTCCTTGACTCGGTCCTGCTTCTTCCCCTCCGGTAGGTCTGTTGATCGTCCCGCTGTCATTCTCGTTGCCGAATTCCATTTTTACTTTTGCTTGTGTCTTTCTTCTAGGTCGTGTATAACAAAACAACACCCGCAAAGCCCCTCACACACTCGTTTCCCCAGTCCGGTAGGCAGCTCCCTTCCCAGAATGCTCCCAGTACCCTTCGCANCACCCGCAAAGCCCCTCACACACTCGTTTCCCCAGTCCGGTAGGCAGCTCCCTTCCCAGAATGCTCCCAGTACCCTTCGCATCATGCCACTATTATACATTTTCATTTCTTATGCAAAATGCCCCGTTTGTGATGGTCTCATTATTTCCTCCGTAAAAAACTATGATACAATGCTCCCGACAATCCTTCTTGTTGTCACACAAACCCGTTACCGCAAAATCCTAAGTCATCCTTCCTTCCAACCTCAGTCGGTCAACACCATTGCCCCAACCCCAAAAAATGACAGCCCCATGGGAGCGGTAAGAGACAAAACCATAGCGTGGGCAAGACCGTTGTCAGTCCTTGGTTTGTAGCCCCTCAGTTTCCTTATCTTCGGCTTCCTGAAGCCATTGTTCCACTGGGTCCTGACTTAGAAACCTGACCAATCGTTGCCCCGGGAAGGGTCCTTTCAATCCAGTTTCATCCAGATCTTCTAGTTCGAAGGTGTTCAGTTTCATCCGCTTGGCGACCCGGTAGGGGCCTTTGAACCTCCTCCCCAGTTGTCCAGACCAAGTACTTGCTAGTGCCGAATTCCTTAGCAATATTGTCTCCCCCACCTGAAGTGGCTCCTTTCTGACATTCTTAACCTGGTCCCACCTTGCTTTGTCCCTTATCCTGCTGTCTAATACCCGGTTGGCGATCTCTTCCATGACCTCCTCATTCCTAAGGACTTGTTGACATCTTGCCTCAATTAATTTTTCCGTGGTCATATGCGGATCCTCATCCAGGCTGTTCCAAGTTGGTATCAAGGCTTCCACGGGAAAGTCGATCTCTCTTCCATGCCAAAGTTCCGCTGGGATACATCCCGGCGTTCTCTTAAGTGTCATATTCTACGAGAAGACCGCCTGCTTAAGGTACCTAGGCCAACTCCCCAGATGGTCTGCTGCGAGCTTCGCAATCGTGTTCTTTAAGGTTCGGTACCCTCTTTCCACAGGTGCATTGACCTCCGGATGATACGGCTCGGTGAGTTTGATCGGTACACAGAGCCTCTTAAGCATTCCCAATACTTCTTGGTTCTCAAACTCTGTCCCATTGTCTGCTACAAACCTTTTGATGAAGGGATGCCTTAAGTAGAAGTCTTCTATCCGGTCTGCTACACTTCTCCCGGTCTTTTTCTTGAGAGCGACTGCCTCCACAAACCCACTCAAGTTGTCCCGTGCATCCAGGATATACCTGTACCCATCCGTTGATACAGGCATGGCCGCCAGATTGATGTGGACCAGATATCTCGGTCCTAACGCCCGCGTTGGTCTAAGTGGCTCGAAGACACGTGTCGAGCTCTGTTCCTGGCAGATTAGGCAGGTGTGGCAGTATGTGGCGACCATGCCTGCCATGCCTGGCCAATAATAGAGTGACGTTATCTTTGCAAGAGTCCCTTTGGATGATCGGTGTCCTCCTACTAACCCGTCGTGCATTGCTTGGATAACGTCTAGCTGCCTAGATCTTCCGCACACCACTCTTCTAGGCATAGCACCTTCCTCCCTCTTGAACAGATGGCCACCCATTAGGACGTACCTCTCGGCCTCCTCCCTTGCTTTAATGCGGACTTCCATGGGCTGTTTATTCCCTACCAACAACAGCCCAATCTCCCGAAAGATCCCTTCGTATATCTGGGCATTGAAAACCCTCCTCCCTTCCTGGTCCTCATCCTTTCTTTCCTGCATCTGGTTTACCGTCCATCGCAACTCTTTCCTTTTCCAAGATTCCACTAAGCTCATCATGGTGTCCCGGCCTCCCTCAATCCCCATTGCTATTAGTTCCTCCTTCGGTCCTACTATCACTCCCCACGAATCTTTCTCATTTTTGCGACCTCGAGTGGTGACTGGTGCTTCTCTAAGTTCTGCTACTACGGCAAGTGCCCCCTTCTCCAAAGTTCGGATCAACAGTTCTCCCGACGCGCATCGTTTGCCCATCATTTCGTTGTCCACCGCAAGAGTTCCTCCTTCGAATTCAAGGAACGCGTTTATGGGCCCCGCATCCTCCACCCCTTCGGGAGTGATGCAAAACTGACTCAGCCCATCTGCCTTGTTTCTGATTCCAGCAATTCGTTCGATCTTGTAATCGAACTGCCAAATAAATCCTACCCATCTCCCCACCGTCGGATCTATAGGCCTATAGTTCTTTAAGGCCCCTGCGACATTCGTCGGATCGATCCTTAAGACGAACCGCCTCCCAAATAGGTAGGCCTGGAAGGTCTTGAGGCAATGTAAGATGGCTAAGACCTCCCTTTTGAACTGCGCGTACAGCCGTTCTGGGGAGTTCAGGGTTCAACTTTCGAACCTAATCGGCCTCTCTTTTCCTTCCTCATCCCTTTGAATCAGTACGCCTCCTACGACCAAAGGTCCTCCATCCGTTTCTAGGATGAATATTCGTCCTACTTCGTCATTAAAGCAGGGTGCCGACAAGGCGACTTGCTCAGACGTCAGTATGTCCTTGAGTGTTTGGACGGCTCCTTCTCGCTCGTCCGTCCAATCCATGGTCCCCTCTTCTCTGATCATGGCCCGGATATGTTCGGCGATCTTGGCAAAATTCTTAATGAAGATCCTCCAAAATCCGACCACGCCGAGGAATGTTCTTACCTCCGTTGTCGTGCGCAGGGATGTTGACCACTGCGATATCTTGTCTGTCTTTGCCGGATCTGGCTTCCTGCCGAAAGCACTGCAGCGAAATCCTAGTATAGCTACTTCCTGTACTGCTGGAATACTCTTTGGTCCGCTAGCAGTTGTAGGGGCCTTACCCTGAAGGACTTTCGTGCCTCGGTCGACCCCATTGCGGGTCTCATTTGGCTCGACCCACCCACGCTCACGCTCAAGGCGCGGGTCGTTCGTCCCAGGGGCACCCCCACCTAGTGTTATGAGATGGATGGGGATGGGCCTTGTGCGAGACGGTTTTACATTGGGGGACGTAGCTCCGCTCTCGCGTCAAGATGGTAGCTCTTTGGTCAATCGCGGCGTTTTCTAGATTCTTCTAAGTCTGACCAGGCAATTGCTCCTTCCAATACTCAGGCAGTCCAGGGAGTTCGTTGAGAGTTTGTCTTCTTACCGTGCGCAGGCCAAGCGTCATCCATTGGGCCACGCACCTTTTCACTAGGTCTAGTGGCTCGATACATCCCCGACAGCATCCTTGGGGTAGGGCGGTGTCGCCCAGACTCCTAGCCGCTATATTTTTTTTGCGAGAGTCACTAGCATCGCATCACCTATCCAAGACCGCCCTTAGTTTTTTCAGGGGTCGCATTGCACATGAGAGAGACATTCCATGCAACCTCCACACAAACCAAGTTCATGCATCAACCAACCACCCAAGCGCCCGGTCTCAACTCATCCCGCATCCATGGCTTAAGCCGGATCCAAGTCCTTTCCTTAGCCAATCTCCCACCCTCGTCCTCATCCGCGGGTCCAGCCCTGTCCAAACCGTCCCTAGCTACTCACCTGCGCAAGACCACACAAGACAAATGACCAAGTACAATCCCCATTGGGGTCAACACACCGCCCCCTTCCCGCAATCCTAAGTTGTCTTTGCCTTCCATTTCCCCTTATGAGTTCCCTCCCCTTTCACACAGGCAAGCCATGCGATCGCCTCAATCATGCACTCCGGGAGGATGGTTGAGTCAAATTGACCTCGTTCAAAATCAGCACTCCTTTTCGCTTTCGCAAATGCACTCAATAGTCCCGTATCCTTTCCTTTTTGGTGGCACAAGGGACCGACAACCCTTCCCTTGCCCTCGCTTTCCACCAAGTGAGGACTAAATTTCCTTTCCGTTCGTTCCCTGGCAATGTAACAGGTGAGGGTAGAGGTTAGTCACATGCCATGGAGGGGAAGGGGAGAGGGAAGAGGTGAGGGTTAAAGAGTTTGAAGGAATGGGAGAAGAG